TCCTTCCATGACCTTGGAGAGCTTCCTTGCTGCCCGCAGGAAGACGGCGTGGTTTTGAGGCTGAGGCATGGAATGGCGGTTTGGAACATGGTAGAGCTGCAGATTCCAATCCCAGTGCTGTCACGTCCTGTCTCTGTGACCTTCGGCCTGTTACCTTCTCTCTCTGGTCTCAGTTTCCTCACCCGGAAATAAGACGGACAAAACTACTTTGCAGAGTTATTGCGAGGCTTACACAAGATGAAGGATTTAAATGCCTGGCTCTGAGCTGGTACTGGATAAAGAGCACCTTTCATTAATGTCATTATTAATAGAGTTATTGCCTGAATAATGGCCTATGTAAGGTGCTTCAAAAGCTGCCCGTGAAGGAAGGAGTTGAATGTCAAAGGGCCTTTCCTACTTCCATCTTTGTGCCCAGTTAAGGACATGCCACCCAGCTGCCTGGAGAGATGTAGTGTCAGAAATTAACTCAGAATAGGCATGGTCTGGCATAGCTCTTGGCTTTGGGTCTTGGAAAACTATTTTAAGACTCGGCTTTCTGCTCATTACCATAAGCTTGGGAGGAAACACCCCCTGTAGAGGAGGCAAATGCTAACAAAACTTGCAGCTGAATCCTATCCTTCCCCCTTTCTTAACTATAGAGGCTTTTTCTCCAGTTTGGGTAGGCTATCCCCATTCCCAGACTGCTTTGCACATAACATGCTCTGAGTATTTAATGAATGAATGGATGATTGGTATTTCCAGCCTCTGGACTTCAGAAGTTTTCTAGTTCCTATGGTTTAGATGGAGCCCTGGTGGCGTAGTGGTTAAGAGCTCAGCTGCTAACCAAAAGGTCAACAGTGCAAATCCACCAGCTGCTCCTTGGAAACCCTATGGGGCAGTTCTGCTCTGTCCTATAGGGTCACTATAAGTTCTAACTCCACGGCACCTAACGACAACAACATGGTTTAGATAGGAGCCCTAGTGGCACAGAGGTTAAAGTGCTCGATTGCAAACTCAAAGGTTGGTGGTTCCAACCCACCAGCCGCTCTGTGGGAGAAAGAGGTGGCAGTCTGCTTCTGTAGAGCTTTACAGACTTGGAAACCCTATGGGGCACTTCTCCTCTGTCCTGTGGGGTTGCTATGAGTCGGAATCAACTGAATGGTAGTGGGTAGCGGTGGTGTGATGGTTTAGATACAGGAGAGAGACCATGATGATTTGGGCACTGAGAGATTACACCTATGTTCCTAGGATGAGGGCTGTGTATATTACCCACTCTTGCCCCGGCCAAGTCTCTCCCTACTTCTCTCTGAAAGGGCTAGAAGCCCTTATTGCCTTCTCTCTGGGGCCTGGGGAGGGGAAGGAGAAGATCAGCTTGTGGTTAACTCAATCGCAGGTGACAGGAGTGGCTTGGCGTCAGTTCTGGTGAGAGTCCTCCCGGACGCCTATGTTTCCTGGTAGTTGATTTTGGAAAGCAACAAGGGCAGTTGAGACCTCAGCCTAGAGCCCAGTAAACAATTGACAATCTTCTCATTATCTTACCTTCACAGCAGCCTGCGAAGGTTGACGTTGCCATCCGCATATTTTAGAGATGAGGGAAGAGACTCAAGAGGGGGGAGTGACTTGCCCAGAGTTCGCACAGTAAGAAAATGGTAGGAGTATGATGAGAACTGGGGTCTGCCTGTCTCCAAACATACCTGTCTCTGCCACACCATGCTGGTTTGGTGGGAAGTCCCTATAAGTGAGTCCCCTATTGGTCAGAAGCATATACACAACACTTCTCATGCTGTGACCCAGCTTTCCCCAAGTGTCTTAGCACTGGGCTATCATCCAAGTTCAAATGCTGGTGATAGAACCGATCAGGGCCGAAGGCCGGCCAGCCTCCTGATCAGGAATAATCAGCAACGGGTTTATCCTTCTCATCCCTCTGATCCTATTATTCCATTCCAGAACTCATAAAAGTGTGGCTTCTGGAGGCCCAGGGGCTGGTGCCACAGTGGATAGAGATGGGGAAGGAGGTGTGGGGGGGGGGGGACATGTGATCTGCTTCACTCCTCCATTCCTAAGGAAGCCCCTGCAGTTCAGCTGTTTCTTATTTCCTGCTGAAAGTCAAACCATCTGCCCCCTGCCAAGGTCACCAGCTTGCCCCTGTCACTCAGGACCACCGCTGCTCCATCTACCCCGCTCAAAATAGCTTATAAGTAAGCACTGAAGCCCTGATTCTAAAGACACCTGGACCCCTTGTTGCCCTTAAGCCTCAAGCTGATGTCATTTCCCTTCCCCTTCCCCCCTTCCACCAAAGCAAGATGGGATTTCTTCAAACTGTGTGACTTTTCCATAGGGGCCTGGTTTTGTTGTCTTCAGTTTCTTTTTTCCAAGGACAGAGGCATAACCCAAGGTCGCTACGCTAGTGCTGTGCTCTGGGCTGGCCTGCAGGGGGCAGGAGTCACCAGACCTGACTGCGTGGGTGCCCTGCTGAATGAATGGATGCCTTACCCACGCTGACCAACACCTGACACCCTGTGCAGGTGGTCCTTTAACACCAGTCTGGGTGGGTAAAGGACACTTCCTCTGGGCCCAGCGCTGTGCTAAGTCCTTTACATGTGTTATCTCATTAACTGCTCATAGCAGTCCTATGTGGGAGGGTCTATCATACTCCCGATTTTATAAATGAAGAAGCTGAGGCTCAGAAAGGTTAATATGTCCTCAAGGTCACATAGTTACTAAGTAGCAGGGGTACGATTTGAGCCCAAGTCTGTCTGACTCCACATTCCAAACTCTTCGCATCTATATCAGTGGTTTCTTAACACTGGCTGCAGGTTAGAATCACCCGGGGAGTATTAAACAGCACCGCTGTCGGGAGTCCGCCTAGACCTATTACATCAGAATTTCTGGGGAAGTGATCCGTGATTCTAACCTGCAGCCAGTGTCGAGAACCTCTGCTTTCCGCTGTGTGCCTCTGCATAGAGGAGCCGTTTAGTCCGTATGAAAAGGTCTCGCACCTGGAACAAAACTAAGCTCCCCTCCGGGGAGCGCTGTCTTTTCAAAAGAGTCTTCAGAGGGCCGCTTTTCTGGATTTTCTTGACAAGTCTTTCCTGATTCCGCAGACTAAGTCAGACCCCTCTGTTTCACATTCTCGGAGTCCCGGTGTTCCCACTTGCTAGCGTTCATCTGAGATGTAATGAAATAATTGTGTTCTAGCTATTTAATATCTGTTGCTCACCTACTGGAAGGCATGATCCCTGAAAGCAGGAATGGTGTTTCTTGTTTTCTACAACGTTCCCAGAGCCAGGCACAGTGCTGGGCACATACACATTGGAAAAATCATACTTTCTGTTTTCCGTTTTAAACATATGGAGTACCTGTCAGTGCCACACATTTTCCCACTTACGCATTAGAAGCAAGTTAGGGGTATCCCTATTTTCCTGCAGAGGAAACGGCAGCTGAGGAATGTGAGGGGGTTCGCCAGTCAGAAGCCTGCAGAGCCAGGGCACAGCTCCAGGCCTTGAGATCCTTCCCATCCTGAGTCCGTTGCTCTTCGCGTGATCCTGCCCCCAGTGTGGCCCTGCAGAGGGGCTTCTTTCCTGCTCTGTTTCAGAGGAAGGGTCCAGCGTAGGTCTTAAAGAAGGCATTTTGTAGGCTCTTCTCCAACCGGCTCCCTGGCGCCTTCCTCCCCTTTCCTGCTTTTTTGGCTTTAGGGCCCTTCCCGGTTCCTCCCTCTGTCCCGAGAGGGTGGCCCCTCCTTCTCCAAATTCCCCTCCGGAGGTTTGACCAAAACCAGGCTACTCAGTAACTCCCCTGATTAATCCACTCCTTCGTCAGCAGCAGCAGCAGCAGCACAGCCATGAAGAACCACCCAGGGACCTCCTTCCCCAGCTCTTCAGGGGTAAGCCCATGGCACCCTCGGGGCAGTGCCCCCACCCATCTTCCCTAGTGGGAGCTCTGACCAGCCACCCAAAGCTGGAGAAAACGCCTCTGGGAAAGTTGCCTCTCTGAGCTGAAAACCTCCTCAGCTGCATCTGTCAGAGCTGGTTGCCTCAGGCGCACGGGGAGTTCTGCTTCTCATTCTCTTTCTGGTGCCCCCTGCTGGGAAAAGCTGGGCGCAGGGGAACAGGGGCCCTGCGTCTCTTGGGTTATCTGGCTGGGGCTGTAGGTCTCAAATGTGACATCTGACGCTTGAGACGAATTCAAATTAAAGCTGGCACCTGGAGGGACAAGGAAGACCCAGTCACTTAAGGAGTTCCAGTGTGGGACCTTAAAGACGGCTTTGCGCACCCAGCGGTGGGATGGGAGCAGAAGCAGCTGTTCTCTGCTGGTCACTCAGCTGTGCTTCCAGCCCCAGAACCTCATCCCGTTGCAGCGACGAGGCAAGTGTGAAAATTGGAGCGTGATGGATACGTCACAAGATCTCCCAGGCCCTCTACTGGAGCTGCCTGATCTCATCCAGCTGGAATGGCCGGGGGCAATTAGGACATGAGTCTGTCCAGCTCACTGCTCATGAGAAGGGGCACACATCTCCCTGGGTGCTGGCATATGCATGTGTGTGTGTGCGTGTGTGTGCGCGTGTGTGTGTGAATGCTCACACAAGGCTGGGAGCTGGGAGGCACCCTGCCTTTTGGGGCCCAAACTAGCCAGCTTTCCCTTCTGGGACTGCTGGCCTAATTCCCAGCCACAGCTGCCATTCTGAGTCCCCCTCACCGAGGCAATCTCCCTGCAGATTTGGCGGTGGGGAGAGGAGGGGCCGAGGGAGAGGAGAGAACCGGAGAGGATTCAGGTCTAATCTGATGTAGATGATCTGGCAGCCTCTTCCAGTACTGCTACCTCTGCCCTCAGCTCCTCTGGGCATTTCCTCTATGCCCTGCGCTCTCCCCTCCTGCCTTCATCTCCTTGAGAAAGTGCCCAGAAAGTTAAATCACCCTGTAAACACACACACAATCCACGTACCCCCCGCCCCCCACAAAAAAAAACTCAGCAGGAGCAGGCAGACAGTAAGAGAGCATGCGTGCAAGAGCAGGCTCAGCTCGGTCCCGGAGGAAGAGCGGCCGAGGCACTGGAGGCTGGGGTTGGCAGTGGCCAGGACTAAGGTCTCCTAGCCCCCAGGGAACCTCCTTCATGGACCCGGGGATCCGGAAAGGGGCCGCCTCAGCTTAGGATGGGCAACTGCGTCAAGTCTCCACTGACAAATCTCTCAAGGAAGGTATGTTTCTGGAGTTCCCAAGACCTGGTGTGGAAGGTGGGGGAATCTTGCCATCTGTCCCAGAGGTTGAGCATGGAGGAGTGAGCATCTGATGCTTTATGCCCTTCCCCTGGGTTCTGTCCAGAGCTGCTTCCCTGCTTTTCCCCCCAGACACCCTCTTGTGACAGCTTCTGATGTCCCAGACGGAGCTGAAGTTGGGACTCAGGGCTATATGGAGGACTGTGCTTAGGAATTTGTACAAGACGTAGGAGAGAAACCGTGTAGCTTTGGGGCTCTTGGGCTTTCAAATGGAGAGGGTGGGTTTTTAGGGTATCAGGATGTACACCTTTGGAGCTGACGGGATCAGAAGAGGGTTGGGTTTTGTCCCTGCTGCTGTTTAGGTTCCTTCCCAGCAGTGGGACCAGGGGCTCATTCATCTCACTTAAGGGTCTGACCCTCTGTGGTGATCTCTGTGCCTTCAGAATTGTGAATTTTAAAGTAGATTTCATGGCTGCTGAAAGGAACCAAGCAGAGTATCCCCTTCTATCCCTAGAAATTCTTGAGGCAGGTCAGAAGATGTCAACTAGGACCAGATTGGTTCAGGGCCCAAGATTGTGTCCGTTAAGAAATTGGATGCCCAGGAGATACATTGTGCAGACGTGTGTATAAGTTGATTTCTGTAGTGGATTTATTGCTTATACATTAGGATAATATTCATTTGCAAGAATCCCTTTTGGAAAGCAAATAATCACCTCTAGGGCATCTTTTGTGCAAGCCTGGGCTCGCATCCATAGGGTTTTGCTTCAAGCGGCTTCTGCTTGTATTTCTAGTCTTCTTGTAATTCCTTAAAATAAATTCTTTTAAAAGAATATTATCCTAGTGTATAAGCAGTAAATCCACTACAGAAATCAACTTATACACAACTCTGCACAGCATATCTCCTGGGCATACAATTTCCTAACAGACACAGTCTTGGGCCCTGAACCAATCTGGTCCTAGTTGAGTTATTTCTAACCTGACTCCTCCCTGTGTTTCTAGCCCTCTTCAGTCAGGACAGAGCCCTGGTGGTACAGTGGTTAAGTGTTTAGCTGCTAACCAAAAGCTTAGTGGTTTGAGTCCACCAGCCACTCCTTGGAAACCCTCTGGGGCTGTTCTACTCTGTCTTTATGGGTCACTATGAGTTGGAATTGACTCGATGGCAATGGGTTTGGTTTGTTTTTTTTAGTCAGGACATAGAAGAAACTCATGAACATTATTTAAAGGAAGAAGGACTGATAGAGATATTTTCCTCCAATTCTTTCATTTTCCAGCTGGACTGCTGGTCAGAGAGGTTAAGTGACTTACCTGAGGTCTCAGGCTGGCTACTGGTGCTTCTGCCCGAGACATCATCCTACCGCCTCGGTCAGTCTGACAGCGTCTTGATTTAGGGCATTCCAGGCTTTTCTGCTTGTCATCTTCCTCATTTAGCTAAGCTGCTCACATCAGATTCCTCTTAATCTTGGCTGTTCCTTGGATCCTTCTGAGCGCTGATAGTTTCTCCTGTGCCCTACCCCCATTGTCTCTCATCTTCTTAGGGGAGCCTTCCACATCTGAGATGGCCTCCCCGCTGTTGCAGAGAAGCAGAAATTGATCTGAATTCATCTAGAGGACCACAGGGCTGAAAGCCTTTCCATGGGTTCTGCCCAGAGCTTTGAGAAGAGAACTTAAGAATAAGAATTGTCCTTCTGTCCCACACCACCCGTCTTTCCTTACACAGCGCAGTGCTAAGAGTCAGACTGCTTAGGTCTCCTCTTTCTAGCCACGTGATCTCGGGCAAGTTACTTCATCTCTCTGTGCATGGTTCCCTTGCCACCAAGTGGGGATACTAACCTCTACCTCCTAAAGTGACTGTGAGGGCTGAATAAAGTGCAATGCACAGTGCCTAGCAAGTAGCACTCACTCAGTGTGTCGTTGTACCGTAATCATGATTTTTCCACTCTGGGTTTTTAGAGAAGGGAATGGAGAAGAGAAGGAAAAGAGGAGAGGTTTTATAAGGAGTAAGGTAAACAGTCATAAAACTTACTGCATTCAATTCCGTGTTTTCATGTCAACAGTAATGAATTGATTCTACTGAGTATTTATGATGTATCTAACAGCTGTTATCTCATTTGGTCCTTTCCACGAAGTAGTTCTCTTGGCTGTTTTGTGGAGAAAGGAGCTGCTCTCAGAGATACGAGCTTCCTAGGTCACACAGCCAGCTGGTAGCAGAGCTGGGCTTTAAGCCCTGGTCTGTGTGAATTAGAGCCAGGTTTTGTTTTTCCCTCTATGAGAGGCAGCCTCTCACTTTCTCCTGCTGTCAGAAATGTTATTCATAGATCCCTGAATCTGACTTGAGAGGTCTCTAATCCAAATTCCCACCCAATGCAGAACTCCCCCCTCCCGCGCCCCCGCCTCAGACCAGCACTCGCTCTTTTGACTTCTCCTTGAATGCCTTCGGTGAGAGGGAGCTTGTTACCTCCATTCTCTTGGCCAGCTTGTGTTGCTAGAAAGCTCTTGGGTCAGAAGGCACGCTGGCCTCTCCTATTGCCATGCCACACTCAGGAACCATCTCCTCCGTGCCAGGAGACATTGTCAGCCTGTGGGCCACCGCCCACTTGGCGTCCTGAGTGGTAGCTGGGGAGCTGGTAATGGTGAGAAGCGGCCTGCCCTAGGCTCTGAGCAGGGCAGGATCTGGCTGTCAGGTGCCATCGCTGGCTGGGGAAGATAGCAGCCTCCCCGGGCCACTTGATGCCAGGCAGTGTTATAATCAAGAGATGCAGTGGAAATTCCCCAGCCAGCACTGGTTTCCTCTTCATGGAAGCAGATTCTTCCCCATCTTTCTCATTTGCTTCCTGACTGGCAAATGTTCCCCTCTTTCTCTTGAGCCAGAAGTAATTCCTCCTGGCACCAGCATGTCTTAAGTTGCATCATCCTCATCGCCATCAGCATTGTCATTGTCGTCATTGTCAGCACCATAGCAACTCCATTACTGGACTCTTACCATGCTCTAGGCACTATGCAAAGCTCCTTACGTGTAATAGCGTATTTATTTCTCACAAGACTCCTGTGAGTGGGCAGGAAGGAGACTGGAGCAGAGAGGTGAAGTGACTTGCCCAAGTTCACACAGCAAGCAACAGAGCCAGAATTTGCCCCCAAGGCTGAGTCCAAAGCCAGTACATTGAACTGCCTCTCAGAGTTCTGTGTGGTTTGCTGCTTCTTCCTTCCTAGGATGGGCCAAGCTTACAAGATTCAGCCAGAAATGAAACGGCTGATTCCCTACAAACATCTCCTGAGATTGCTTCTGGGGTTAAGCCACTGTAGACTCCAAGCTTCCTTTGATCCACTCACCCAGTTGGGAAAGTCAGTCTTGTTCTGCCCTAGCTCCAGCCTGTGTCCTAGAGGCCTGTGAGTGTAGTGGACTCTGAATCTTAGCTCTCTTGGGCATCAAACCAGAATGGGCCCTTGGTCTGCCTGACATCCCTCAAGTTCTGAGATAACCTAACACTGACCCTGGTGCACTCATTAAACGTGAGCCTTGGGCTGAGGTCCTTCACCTCAGGTCTAAGCTGCTTTCTCCTAGAGGAACTGGAATACTGCTCCTCCCTCTCTAGGCCTGGAAGAGGCTTGGGAATTTGGAAGGGAGTGTTGAAGCTATCTGCATCTGTAGCCCCACAGTGCGGGGCTTGGGGAAAAGCATTAAAGGACAGGTGGGGGTGGTGGGGTATTCTGCTTCTCGGCTGGGAGGACAGGCTGCCCTGGGTTTTAGGATCTTCTGCTAGGAGTGGCCTTCTTTGAACTGCAGGAGACTGGCTGGAAGTGGAGTGCAGCAGAATGGAAGGATAGGGTGTGCCCCTCTGGGGTTCTTGGGCAGAGACAGCCTTCAAAGTTTCCCCTGTCCTATACCTCTCCTTAGGAAGGGATCCAAGCTCAGGGCCCTGACCTGGCCTCTGAGAAGGCACCGGGCATACTGAGGAGGCCCGGGCAGAGTAGAATGTTGTATCTGGATGCTGCTGGTGTCCTAAGGGGCAGGTCTAAGGGCAGTGCTGACTTTTTATAGTTGCATGGGAACTGTTAGGGGGGAGAATGAGCTGGCCAGGCCTGGGAGCACGGCTATATTCGGTAAGCAGAGACGGCCCTGCCTCAGCTTCCAGAGGTCCAGCACACTGGGCCGGGCAGGGAGCCAGCGAGAGTGGGCAGGAGGAGAAGGAGAACTGCTGGATGGCAGAGTCACCAACCAGGTGGAATTGGACGCACAGATAGGTTTTGTTTGGTCCCCCTGGCGCTATAATTGGTGACCTATTTATTTTCTGCTTAGAATTTTTTGTTGGTACGATGTGTTTTCATTAATGGAAGCATGCTGAATCACTGAGTGTGTCTGAATTTTTGGTAGGTAGTATGATCCTTGGTGGCATAGTGTTTAAGAGCTCAGGCTGCTAATCAAAAGGCCGGCAGTTCGAATCCACCAGCCGCTCCTTGGAAACCCTATGGGGCAGTTCTGCTTTGTCCTATAGGGTCGCTATGAGTTGGAATAGACATGACGGCAATGGGTTAATGGGTTTTAGTATGGATTATTTTTCTTGCCCCCTCCTACAAGCCTACCCTAAGTATTTAGTGGTACATACGAAGTACCACTAATTATACCCCAGAGTCCCCACCATGGTCTGTTGGTACATATGTGTAACAAATACAATTTTTCAAAATTTCTATTTTTTTCTACCAAAAATTCAGACACCTCATACAGTTCCCTGTAAAAACAGTAATTTGCGGCATACTCCCATTTCTTCAGTTTCAAACAGTCATAAAGGCCTTTGCCTTGTGGCAGAATGTGCTATCAGTGGTACAGCAGCTTCCCAGTGAACCCCAGAATCTGAAAAAGTTCATGGTCGCTGTATGTACCGCCAAGCATGAAAGGGATTAAATCAGAAGGTCTGGCAGTACTGGGCTGTGGTTAAGTAGCACTGCCCCTTCATGGAGTCACACTGTCCATCCTGTCCCACCCCCACTTCTTCCACCTCGCCTGCTTCATTTCAGCCTTCTGGGCTTGCAGCCGCGGGTCTCGCCAGCTAGCTGAGCCTATGCTCCATGTTGCCAGCTCTGATTCCCCACCTAGCCTTCCAATGGGGTCAGAAGTCTGTTTGGGAGCTCAGAGAAACGACTTTGCCCCGGGGATTGAGTTGGGATGTTGGGAACATCTTGGGGGAAGGATGTTACTCCGTCAGTCTGTGGGGAACTCTTCCTATTGGCTAGAACAGAAGCTTTCCTCTGCCTGCTTCTCTCTCTGAGCTTCTGCGGGCACGTGAGTGTGTGATTCTGTGTATGTGTGTGTGTGTGTGTGTGTGTGTGTGTGTGTGTGTGTGCACGCACACCACACAGTGGGTATCACACCCAGCTCTGCCTGGAACATCAGTTTCAGTCAAGGATTGGAGACTCCATCTGGTGGACCAAGTTGAGGGCTGCCCCCATGCATCCTGAGGGCTCTCTGCACCCCGCCATTCACTGTCAAGACGCTTCTCTCCAGGAGAGCCCTTCCAGGACCAGGAGCCAGCCTGAGACCAGGAGGGCCCACCTGGGTGGGGAGGTGACAGCCCCCTCTCTTTTGTATTTGCTTGGTGCTGGGTGAAGATGCGACAGGAGAAGACCAGCTATACAGTGGTGCAGACGAGCGAGGAGGGGCTGGCCGGCGCCGGCGAGCTCCCCGGACCACTCCTGACGCTCACCCAGAACTGCGCTGTCACGCACAACCTACTGGGCCCTGCCTGCATTTTCCTGCGCAAGGGCTTCGCTGAGAACAGGCAGCCTGTACGTAAGTTGGCCAAACAGAGCCACACTCGGCTTGGCTTCGCAGGGTATGAGAACATGTTGGGAAGAAGAGGGGTTCAGTACACAGCAGCCTCTGTCCCCCAACAGATAAGCCTCCAACCCCCAATTTGTGAATCTGGTCCCCAAAGTCCCCCACTCATGGCTGCAAAGAGCTGGTGAGTCCACGCCCACCAGCAAAGAGTAATAACAGTAGCTACTTTGTGTGTGTGTGTGTGCACTTACTGTGTGCCAGGCACCGGGCTAAGTGGTTTGATGGATTGTCTCCTTTAAGCCTCAAAGCGACTCCAAGAGGAGTTGCCGTCTCCGTTTTACAGGTGAGGAAACTGAGCTGGAGCAGTAACATGTTCCAGGTAACAGCTAGTAGGTGGTAGAGCTGGGATTCTAACTTGGGTACTCTGACTCAAGAGCCTACCGTGCTCTGAACAACATTACTCTACATGGAGATGTCCGGTAGAATTTTTCTCAGTGATGGAAATGTTCCCGAATCTGCACCACTAGCCACATGTGGCCATTGAGCACTGAGGAATTATGCTGAAACGTGCCTAGTGCGACTGAGGAACTGAAGTTTTAATTTTATTTAATTCAAATTCAAATTTCAGTAGCCACACGTGGCTAGTGGCTTCCTGTTGGAAAGCCTCCTACAGGTATCCGGGAGGTATTATCAGGGAGGATAATAATGATAATGTTACAGATACAAACATTTGTAAGCTGCATTTATTGAAGGCCACATGCGAACCACTTGACTGACCTGTCTCATCTCATGAAATGCTCACCAAGGCTCTGTGGGGTAGGCATTGGTATTAACCCATTTTACAGATGAAACTATGGCTCAGAGAGCTGAAGTGACCTGCCCAAGGTCCCACGGCCAGGAAGCAGCCGATCTGAGCTTTGTGCTCAGGTCTGTCTGCCTCCGGAGCCCAAGCTCCTCCCTCTGCTGTGTGTTGAAGGAGAAAGAAGTGTGCCTGTGCTCCATTCCCACCCGACCCCTTTGTCAGTGCATATGGTTTCCCTGCCACATTGGCGGGCCCATCCCCAGCTCTATTCCAGAGCCCAGCACACATACCCCCACGGCTCCACGTGGGGGAGGATGTGATCCAAGGGCTGGGGCCAGGGCTCAGCCAGAGCAGCTCCTGCCGTAGGCACACTGTCGAAGGACGCCTGGGGGTGGTGCAGACAGTTAACATGCTTGACTGCTAATCAAAAGGTTGGTAGTTCGAGTCCACCCATAGGCACCTTGGAAAAAAGGCCTGGAGATCTACTTCTGAAAAATCAGCCATTGAAAACCCTGTGGAGCACAGTTCTACACACACGAGGTCGCCAGGGGTCAATTAACTCCATGGCCACAAGTGCTGTGGGCATACAAGGAGTCCGGAAAGGGACTGCATGAGGGTTAGCAGCACCCTGTTCCTCTCCAGGACTGTAGAACCGGGACCTGGAGAAGTGGGAGGCTGGTGCAGGCCTGGAGGGGTAGGAATGGACTTGTTATATGTAAGTAATTTGTCCTAGCGAGTACACTCTGCCCATTCGTGTGCACGCATACTTGCTTACTCGCCCCCATTTACTTACTGGTGGTACAAAACATTGCAAACAACGTCCCTTCAGTCACCCACGACCCACGTCTGCCTCGGAACAGGAGTAACATACCCTGTACCATGCACTGGCCAAGCTTCAAGTCCAGACAGTCATCTCACAGAGACATGCAGACCTCAGGTGCTCCCACTCGCATCTGGAAATGCCACCTCGAGGACCTGGTAGCTGCAGCTTGCCCATTCCAAGCCCCAGCTCAAAGGTACCTTCCACACTGTCCCACCACACACAGCCCCTTCAGAGCTCTGGGTCCCATACCTCTGGTTGTCCCACAAGATGTTACTCAGGAACCCGTTCCCTTTTTAAAAGACCTCTGTATCTTCCGGGTACCGGTGTGCCTTGCTCTGGGGCAAATTTGAGGTGGGTGAGCACCCATTCTGGCCCTGTTGATGAGAACGGTCCGTGTGCACAGCCGCGATGCCCCCAGCTCGCTGCCCTGTGCCTGTATGTGTTGTGAACCTCCTGTCCCTTGGGCTCCCTGCCCAAAGGCAGAGAGCTGGAATATCTGGGGAGAAGGAGCCCTATAGACCTGTTTTGGAGCCTACTAAACAGGTCCAGGTGGGCACTGTATCCATTTCATGACAGTCTTCCTCCTGGGTGGCCTGTGGCGGCTGGCACCTCACCCACGTCAGCCTGCCCCATGCATCCTCTGGGCCTGCTCTCTGGAGGCAGCACTGCCATCTGTTCGGATGTCTGGACCCAGGATTTCCTTGAGCCCCCAAGGAGACCTGGGTACTGCCGAGGCTGGAGATGTGTGCTTGAGACCCTGGCAGCAGCCTGAGGCACTGGTGGTCTCCAGAGTCCTGGGTTGTGTCCCGTGACAGGGCGAGGTGTAGGGATGGGAGTCGAAGGGAGCAGGTGGGGGCAGTGCCCAGAAAGCAGGGCACAGCCCCAGTGCTGCTCCGCATCCCCAGCCTCCTCCTCTTCTTCCTCCCTCTCAGGCTGCCTGTCTGACCCCTGCCTTCTCTGCCCCTCCGTGCCCTCTTTTCTCCCATTACGTTTGCAGGCCTCTTCTCCCCTGCTCTTCCTGGTTTCGTTGTGTGGTGCTTTCTTCTCTCTGTGTGATCTCCCACTGACATTGTTTTATCTACAGGTCTCTGCCTCCAGACCAACCCTGTTTCCCGACATGTCCTCATGTCTGGAATAGGGTTTGGGGGTGCAGAGGTTCGGCGCCCTGGCTCGGTGGGGCAGTTGGGTCCGTGGACATCTCCTGTACAGGGCCCAAAGCCCCCATGTCTATGGGGAATGTGAGACCGTGCCTTTTTTCCTCAAGGACGCGGTCCAGGCACACCCGCATTCCCATCACCTCCCACCCAGTGTCTGCTGCCATTTGGATGGACCCCAAAAGTTGGGCGTTTGGTGACTTCCAGGCCCTTCGCAGCTGCTAATTGGACATGTTCTTTTGTTTCAGGACAGATCACTGCGACCAGAGGAGATCGAAGGTAAATCTTGGCCCCTTGGGGTAAAGGGCTGCTCAGCTCTCAGGAAGGTGTGGGAAAGGAAGTTGGTGGGAAGAGTTGCTGAGGTGTCTTGGCCTCCTGGGAAAAGGGCCTGGTACAGAGCAGGGCATGGTCTGTGGAGCCAGCCATTGGAGGAGTGAGCAGGAGGCAAGAGACGTCCCTCAGGGTCCTGGCAGCGCCAGACCCTACTCTCCTAGCCGGTGGGCCCTTGGGCTGCCTTTGCCCCCCCAAGGCTCTCTGTGGGGCCCCACCCCCAGCCACGTCCACCGTTGTTCTCTTCCTCAGAGCTCCGAGAGGCCTTCAGAGAATTTGACAAGGACAAGGACGGCTACATCAACTGCCGCGACCTGGGCAACTGCATGCGCACCATGGGCTACATGCCCACCGAGATGGAGCTCATTGAACTGTCCCAGCAAATCAACATGAACCGTGAGTCCCTACCCAGCACCCTCTTCCCTCCACATCCTTGCCCTCGTCGTCCCTGCAGTCAGACAGGCCTGGACCCACCACCTTCCAGCTCCCAGGGACCTGGGACAAGCCACTTACCATGTCTGAGCCTCAGTTTCCTCACCTGTAAAATGGGGGTTGTAATAGGGGAAGTAGAGTACAGGAAGTACGGTACAGAGTACAGTAGGTACTATATGTAAAGCAACCCAGTTCCTGGCATAGATGGATGCTATTATTATGTTGTTCCCTGTCTTAGTTTGGGTTCTTCCGTAAGCGAGCCTGAGAGAAGGATTTGAACGTGAGTCGTTTCTTTGGTAGGTGAAGGAGAGAGTTGGTAGGGAGTAGGGAAGTGAGATATAGAAGGGCCAGAGCCAACACAGGTTGCACCCTCAAGCCAGGTACCACTGTGGGTGACTGGAGTTTAACCCTGCTGGGGAGCTGAGGGAGTTAGTATAGAACACTCACCCTAGAGTTATCCCTCCAGCCCCTCCCCCTCTCCTGCTGGGTATTTATCCCCCAAGTCCTGTCAGTCACTGGTTGAAGGCTCTGAGCAGGTGGGTGGGTGTCAGTTCACCAGCACTTCCACCTACCAGGCAAGCCAGTTGGATGTTGAGCTTTCCTTTGCACAGCGGTAAGGCTTGGGGTATATGGATCAGGCAGCCATAACTTCTGTTTTTCTCCTTCTGTGTGTGTCTCTGTTTCTGTCTCTCTATCTCTGAAATGCTTTGCCTGTTTCTGTGACCCAGTATGTCTTTCTCCCTTTCACATTTACCTCTGTCCACTTCCTGATCTGTTCCCTTAGTTGCCCCCGGCTATTCCCCTAAGCTACTCCTTGACAAACTACCTGTGTCTGGTCACCTCTCTGTCCTCATCTGGCCTTCATTTATACCCTGGACCTGGCACTGAGCAGGTCAAGGAGGGGTTGGCAGTTCCCTGGGTTGCCTAGTTGGAGTTGGGCAATGGTTAGATAGGTGACCTAGCTCTTTCCTCTGTCCCCAGTGGGTGGCCATGTGGATTTTGATGACTTTGTGGAGCTAATGGGACCTAAACTTCTGGCAGAGACAGCAGATATGATTGGAGTAAAGGAACTGCGAGATGCTTTCCGAGAAGTGAGTGACGGGCAATGGACAGATGCGGGTGGGTAGACTGTTAGAGTCCCAACCCCAGGATGACTACTTGGATAGAAGCCTGAGTCCTAGACCAGGGGAAGGAGCTTGGATGGAGAAGGGTCTCTGGTAGGGGACAATGTGAAGACCTTGAAGAAGGATCTCAACTCTGGGATCTGCTGTTGCCAGTCTCTGTGTTGTAGCTACCACTCCCTCCATCCTGCCCTCTCTAGTTTGACACCAATGGTGATGGGGAGATAAGCACCAGTGAGTTGCGAGAAGCCATGAGGAAGCTCCTGGGTCATCAGGTGGGACACCGAGACATAGAGGAAATTATCCGAGATGTGGACCTCAATGGGGATGGACGAGTGGACTTTGAAGGTAGGTGGGGCTTGGAAGTGGGAGAGAAGCCAGGGCGGCAATGGCCGTCTCTGGAGCCCTCCATCTGTGTACCCATCATGCAACCATCAATCCATCCCTTCCCTTCCATTCTCCCACCCCTGCAGTCCACCTCCTATTCCTAAACTCATTCATCTATCCCTCTGTCTGTCCGTCCATCCAGCCATCCACCCACCCACCCACTCAACCATCCATCTTTCCATATCCATCCCTCCATCTGTTCAAGCATTCATCTCTTCATCTGTCCAAATGTCTATTCATCCATTTATCCATCTCTAAACAATCATCCATGCAACCATGTATTCATACACTTATCTGACCATGTATGCATCGCTTCAGTCTTCTGCACATTCACCCATGCGTTCATCTGTGTATCCATCTACTTAATGTACTCATCTCTCATCCATCCATGTAGCTATACTTCTAAACTTTCATTCAGACATTCATATATGTCTATCCATCTGCCCACACTTCTACTCAGACTTCCATTGACATGTTCATCTATCTGTACAGTCATTTCTCCATCTGTACCCATCTACTCATCCATCCATCCATCCTTGTGTCCATCTGTCCACTCATCCATCTCTATCTGTCCATCTGTCCATCCACTCATGCACCTATCCATGGTAGGTATTTTCTGAATACCACATTCCTTAACCTGACACTCAGGCCCCTTCTGATCTGACCACAGCTCACCTCCCCAGCCACAGGTCTGCCATTCCTTCACTCACATTCTACCTTCAAGCCATACCAACATACTTGTGGTTCATGAACCTACTATGTTCTCTTTTGCCTCCAGGCATTGAATATGCTGTTTCTTTCTTTTTTTTTTTTTTTTGGCCAGGATACCTTTTATTCTGTTCTTTACTCGGCCTAAATTTTACTCCTCCTTCATAACCCTGGAGTGGGGCCTCTTCCTCCAGAACCTCTTCCCTGGTTCCCGAGACGGAACTTACTCTTTTCTGGCCTTTTATAGCACCTCAGGCTCACCCCTGTACGTCACAGTATCCCCTAGCTGCTGGTTATGGTCGCCTCCCCACTTAACTCGGAGCTTTCTGAGAAGAGGAACCGTGTTTTATTGCATTTCTTCCATATCTCAGTATCTGGCACATAGCAAATATTCAGTAGATGTTTTTTTGAAAGCGTCAATAATGATAATAACAGTTATCATTTACTGTACACTTAATATGTACCAGTCATTGTACTAAGTCACTTTATACATATTATCTCATTTAATTTTCACAAGGAGACTATGGGTTTCACTATTATTACCTTATGTGACAGATGAGGAAACTGAGATTCAGAGAAGTAATATAGCTCGCTCCAGATTGCTTAACTATGACAGAGCAGAGCTGGAGCATAAACCCAGGTCTGGCATCTCAGCCACCACCTGCTACTGTGTGTGACACTGTTTGCAGCACAGCACTGTGGGACACAAGGGAAAAGGTAAAAACTGCCCAGGAACTTGCATTCTGAGCAGAAAGACAAGGCAGGCACCTGAACGTGCCAGACGGGTGTGTCCAGAACACACAGGATGCAGGGCCCTTTCCAGGGACTAGTTGGCCTTCAAGGGCAGGAAGAGTATGGAGAGAAGGAATGGAGACTTTGCCACCACCAAATCTTCTGAAATTCCCAGGCTGCCTACATCCAAGTACTTGCCCACCACATGTGACTGCCCTTCCCTGAGAGTCCAGCCTTATTTTTCCAACAAGTACGGCATACCTATGTGTGCTGAGGCCTGATCCCAGCCCTGAGGAGCCCAAGACCAGCAAGGATAACACAGATGCAAACAGTGGCATCCGTGCTGTGTTGGGGAAGTAGAGCAGGGTGTGGAGTAGCGAGGGGGCACCCATGCCAAGCTGCTGGGAGGGGTAGGGAAGGCTTCCTGGAGAAGGTGAGAAACAAATGGGGCCCTGAAAGGTGAGCGGGGGCCACAAGGTGAAAAAGAAGGGTGGGGGAGCAGTCGGTAGGAAGGGTGAGAGGTGGAAGTGGGGGAGTGAAAGCAAGAGAGCCTGCTGCCCTCGAAGCAGTGAGACGAGGTCTGGGGGTGAGCTGTGAGAGATAAGTCTGCAATGTCAGCCGGGCCCAGACCAGCGAGGGCCTGAGGCCCTGTCAGGGCATTGGACGTTATCCACTGGGGAGCCATGGGAAGTTCAAGCGGGGTCAGATCTGCAGATAAGAAAGCTCATGCTGGTTGTTGTGTGGGAGATGGACTGCAGGGGGCAGGATGGATGTGGGAGACAGCAGGAATCGGGCCACGGCAGTGGACAGGGCCATGGATCTGAGGGAGGCATGTAGGCAGCGTCCTGGGCCCTGACTGCTGCTTTCCCCCACCCTGTCCTGTCTACTCCCAGAGTTTGTCAGGATGATGTCCCGCTGAGGCAGCGAGGGCGCCTCCAGGACTGCCAAGCTCCCACAGGTGGGGAGAAGAGGAGCCTCACCCCGCCGCAGCCGCAGAGAGCCCAGGATGAACTGGCGGATGGGGCCTGCCTGCACCGGGGGGAGGTGCCTACCCCGGACCCCCACCCCTCCGCACTGTGAAAGACTCACAACTCCTGCAACTGGAAAGGGGGGTGCCTGCCAACAAGGAGGCCACAGTGCCAAGCCGGCCGAGGTCATGCCAGGCGCCAAGTGCCATGAGCCCAGCCACTGATGGCTGGGTGGGCCAGGGAGCCCGCAAGCAGACCCCGCACAGCATGTCTGCCCTGGGGCAAAGCCTCTTGCTCCCTTCTTAGCTCGGTGCCCATCCCAGCTCGCCTCAGCCCTGTTATCTCAGTACCAATAAAAATATTTCCACGAGGAAGGCAGCAGTGGTGGTCTTTGCTTCTGAGGCTTGGTTAGATGACACACACATTTTCTGAGCCCCAGAACTGGCTAAACATTCTGCATTCAGCATTTCACCAGGCATTTGTTGAGTATCCATCATGTACCCAGTGACTTTGTCTTAGTTCTCTAGTGCTGCTATAACAGCAATATCACAAGTGGATGGCTTTAACAAAGAGAAATTTATTCTCTCACAATTAGAAGGCTAGAAGTGCGAATTCAGCGTACCAGCTCCAGGGGAAGGCTTTCTCTCTCGGTCAGCTGTAGGGGAAGATCTTGGCATCAATCTTCCCCTGTGTCTAGGAGGTTCTCGGTGCAGGGACCCCAGGTCCAAAGGACGTGCTCTGCTCCCGGCTTTTCTTTTGTGGTCACTTCTCCTTTATCTTTTCAGCTTCTGCTTCTTGGTTCCTTGGCCTCTCAGCTCCTCGGCCCCTTTGCTCTTTGGGCCTCTTGGGCCCACCCAGACTTTGCCCTGCTCCAACAAGTGTGACAAAGCTCCTCAGCTCTACCGATAAGTGCCCAGAGGCACCCTACTCTGCTAGTAAGCCTCGGCCCGAAGGCCCTCAGCTCTCTTGCTCTGTGGGTCAGCAAGCCTAGCTCCACCAGCAAGTGCCTAGAGGCACCCTACTCTGCCAGGAAGCCCCCTGACTGAAGGCATGCAGCTCCCTTGCTCCGTGGGTTGGCTCCCACACCATCTTGTGCTGGTCTCCTAATTCCGCTGCCGCCGTTTCTCTGCTGCTGCTTCTTGCCATCTGCGCCTTCTCCGGTGACACAGCTCCCCTCACTTCCTTCTGAGCCTTCGCCAGGATTGCCTTTGATGTCCATAAGTCCACCAATGGTCTCTTCAAGACAATCTAGGATTTTATTATTAGACACCTTAAAACTCTTCCAGCCTCTGCCCATTCACAGTTTCAAAATTGCTTCCACATTTTAGGTATCTGCTAGAGCAGCACCCCACTCTTAGTGCCAAATGTCTTAGGCTGGGTTCTCTAGAGAAGCAAAACCAGTGAAGCTTTTATATATATATATATTTATTTATTTATCTTCTTCTTGTTAGGTGCTGTCAAGTCGGTTCCGACTCATAGCGACCCTAGGTACAACAGAATGAAACAGACGATAATGAGCTGGATGCAGGGTCCAGAGCAAGCAAAAGCCAGCAAGCTTTGCCAGAACATCCATATATATTGGATGCAGGCCACATCCCTGAGGAACCTCCTCTTACAACTGATTGGCTGATCACATCAGATCACATCATGGAGGTGATTACATTATATCACAAAATGGAGGATAACTACATCATCACATAACTGCCAAACTACATCATTACATAGCTGCCAAACCACTAAGAATCATGGCCCAGCCATGTTGACACACAATCTTAACCATCACAGACTTCCACTCTCATCTCATGGGCCAGAACCTGGTACCTCCAACCAAAAGAGAGACTAGAGGTACAGTTATTTAGCTGGGTACACAGCTGCCCCAGACAAAATCAGGTTCTCTACGAAGAGGAGCACAGATATTGGGTAAGCATCTACCAGGGTCTGCCACACTTCCTGTCTTCCTAGAACTTCCAGATTGGTTGGGGAGGTAGGCGTTAAACAATCACATCAATATATAATTATAAAATTGTGGTATGTTATAAAGGAGAAGTACAGGGACCTTAGACATGATATAATGAAGCCTGGCCTGCTCTGGGGAGGTCAGAGATGGCTTCCCTGAGGAAGTGATGACAAGGTTTTTGAAGGAAGTTCCAGTGTGTGTGAGGAGATAGATGTGCTAACAGCTGCCATCCTCTGCCAAGTGGGGAGCAGGCTAGTATGGTGTTTGTTGTTGTTGCTGGGTGCTGTCAAGTCGATTCCAACTCATAGCAGTCCTATATGACAGGGTAGAACTGCTCAATAGGGTTTCTTAGGCTTTAATCTTTGTTGGAGCAGATCACCGGGTCTTTTCTCCCATGGAACAGCAGGTGGATTTGAACTGATGGCCTTTTGGTTAGCAGCCGAGCACTTAACCATTGTGCCACCAGGGCTCCTTAGTATAGTGGTTAGGCCCTGGGTTTACTTGCTGTGTGACTTTGGGCCAGTCACGCCCTCTTTCTGAGCCTGTTCCTAACATGTAATACAGAATAATAAAGATTGGGCTCTACAGTAAGTGCTCTCAGGAAACACTTCTAGGAGGCACTATTCACATAGGCTACAATAGAATTGTGCAGTGTGGCAATACTGAACAGGGTCCATTTCTATCATTTCTATAAGTGAAGGGTTGAGGGAACTCAAAGGAGGGCTATGTGGGTAGAAGATACCCAGCATCTTCGATGGGCTGGGGGCAGACTTGGACATGTGTGTAGAGCAGGCTGATGTACTTCAAGCCAATTGTTCTTAGTTATCTGCTGCTGCTATGACAGAAATACCACAAGTGGATGATTTTAACAAACAAGTTTATTTCCTCACAGTTTAGGAGGCTAGAAAGCTGAATTCGGGTGCTGGCTCTAGAGGAAGGCTTTCTCTCTCAATTCTAGGGAAGGTCCTTGTCATCAATCTTCCTGTGGTCTAGGAGCTTCTCACCACAGGGACCCCAGGTCCAAAGGACGTGCTCTGCTTCCGGCACTTCTTTCTTGGTGATATGAGGTCACTCTTCTCTCTGCTCACTTCTCTTTCATATCTTGAAAGAGATTGACTCAAGATACAAACTAATCCTGTAGATCAAGTCCTGCCTCATTAGCATAACTGTCTCTAATCCTGCCTCATTAACATCTTACAGGTAGGATTTACTACACATAGGATAATCACATCAGATCACAAAATGGAGGACAGTCACACAATACTGGGAATCATGGCCTAGCCAAGTTGACACACATTTTTGGGGGACACAATTCATTCCATAACACCAGTGGTTCTCAAATTCTGGAGGATTTGTAAGCCACAGATAGCTAGGCCCTACACCCAGCGATTCTGATTCAGTATTTGGAGTGGGGTCCATGAATTTGCATCTCTAACAAGCTTCCAGATGCTGCTGATGCTGCTAGTCCCTGGACCATAATTTGAGTAACACTGCTATAAATCTCAGACCCGTGGGAAGCAGGTTTGCTTCCAGGCAACGGGGGAGGCTGTGGGGCCAAAGGCTGGAGCGGGCAGGTGGCAGAACAGTCCCTGCTCCATATACTATAGCAGAGTAAGGATCCTTGTCCTTAGACCCAGCAGCGACTGTGGCCCCCAGCCAGAGGCCTGGGTAATCCGCATGTCCCTAAAGCCAGTGGGGTTGGAAGCTCCAAATTCACTCTAAGAATCCAATTCTGAGGCTAAGCCCTGGGCTCCATGCCCCACTGGGCAGGCCTGTGTCTGTGCCCGCTTCTGTACCATATTACCTCTGCCAGAGACCCCAGAGCTACACCTCAGAAATGCAGTGGCTTTGAGGACCAGAACAGTATGCAGAAGGAGGGCTTCTGTGGACAGCTCTGCAAGCAGACAGGGTGAGCCCACAGGGAGAAGATGGGGTTACGTGTAAACCAGGATGCCTCTGCTCCCAGTGTCGCAGCCTCGTACAATCATAGACCCAGTGGCTGGGAGAGAGGACTAGAGAAGCTAACCAGACCACTGTTAGAGGAACGTGAGTGCTCTTCAGATGGGAGGCTGGGACTCCTGCCTCCTCTGAAGTGGAAACTAGAATTCTGTCCTCTACCTTGTCTTAATTTTGAGGTTCACAGAAAGATTGAAGAAAGGGCTCTGTTACTTTTAAAGAAATGAAGTGCACTTTCCTAGATCGACCCTTCACCACCCATCTGTCAGTTTGTCATACTGTGGTGGCTTGCATGTTGCTGTGATGCAGGAAGCTATGCCACTGATATTTGAAGTGCCAGCAGGTCACCCATTGTGGACAGATTTCAGGAGAGTTTCCACACTCGGACTAGGAAGAAAGGCCTGGCAATTTACTTCTGAGAATTGGCCAATGAAAACCCTGTGAATCACAACAGAGCGTGGTCTGACTTGCTTCCTTTGGACACGTTATCAGAAAGGATCAATTGCTAGAGGAAGACATCAGGCTGGTGAAGTAGGGGGTCAGTGAGGGTGTGGAAGAGCCTCAGTGAGATAGACTGGCACAACAGCCTCCATGATGGACTCAAATATGCTGGCAATTATTGTGGGGATGACTCAGGGCTGGGCAACATTTCATTTTGTTGTATGTAAGGTCACCATGAGTCGGAGTCGACTCAATGGCAGTCAACAACAACAAAGATTGACCCTATCCCAGGCAGGAGTTCTTTACCACACCACTGCTTTGATATCTCCACTGATGAGGAACTCAGTGTGCATCATCTTAGAAGAGCTCATATTGTTTGAAAGATCTTAAAACTGCGCTTGGATTTGCCTCCCTGTGACTTGTACGGTCCAACCTGTTCACTCACCCACTCATGCATGCGTGTGTTCAACTGGTATTTTGAGCACCTCCTATGTGTCCAGGAGCCTGGGTGGTGCAAGCAGTTTGTGATCAATTGGCAGTTCAAACCCACCCAGCGGCTCTGTGGAAGAAAGGCCTGGCAAACTGCTTCTGTAAAGATTAAAGCCAAGAAAACCCTGTGGAGTACTTCTACTCTGTAATACATGGGGTCGCCATGAGTTGGGGGACGACTTGACTGCAGCTAATAACAACTACATGCCTGCTGTGTTCCTGGGTCTCTGTCCTCAAGAAACTCAGACTCTAGCAGGGTAAACAGATAAGGAAACAGACAAGTATAATGTAGTGGCGTAAGCGCTACTATCAGGCTAGCCTATGAGCGGTGAAGGTACATAAAAGGCAACCAATCCAGCCTGGCTGGGTGGGGAGGGTTAAGAGAGACTTCTAGGAGGAAGGAACAGATTTGCAAGGACCTGATGGATCACTAGTGCTTAGTCAGAAGAGGTGGAGAAGAGTTACGGATACAAAAAAATGTATGCTTATTTTTCGTAGCTGTGTCTGTAACTGTGCCCCCATGTGCTT